CTTGGTGTGGCGACTGTTAGGCGATGCACGAAAAGATGTGTCAGACAGAAAGCTTGCACCCAACTGGGGTGGCCCATTCTGAGTTGTAGAAGACTTGGAAAATGGGGCCTACCGACTAGAGGAACTTAGCGGAAAAGCCATCCCGCGAACTTGTCAAGTTCTACTTCATTTGACTTTGTAAGAACGAGATGTGCACTCTTTTCCCGCCTCGGTTTTTTGTCTCAAAAAATAGAAAAATGGGTTTTAGCTAAGAGGGTTTTTAACGAGGCACATATATACAATCAATAAAATAACTCATTCTTTTCCATTCATATTCTCTTGATTTTGCATCATTTTACTATAATGTCAAACCAGGGTCAAGTTCGAACCTTAGCATGATTCATTTTACCTTTCGCCAAAATCGAGTTTGAACCTTGGTCTGACTTATCCCGCTCTTAGACAAGGTCGAGTACGAACCTTGATACGTTTTGCTCTACCTAAAATACAAGGTCGAGTTCGAACCTTAATACACTTTGCTAAAATACAAGGTCGAGTTCGAACCTTAATACGCTTTGCTAAAATACAAGGTCGAGTTCGAACCTTAATACGTTTTGGTTAAATACAAGGTCAAATTTGAACCTTAATACGTTTCGCTTAAATGCAAGGTTGAGTTCGAACCTTAATATGTTCTGCTTAAATACAAGGTCGAATTCGAACCTTAATACGTTTCGCTTAAATGCAAGGTCGAGTTCGAACCTTAATATGTTCTGCTTAAATACAAGGTCGAGTTCGAACCATAATACATTTTACTCAAAGACAAGGTCAAGTTCGAACCCTGATATAATTTATATCACACTAAATTGAGGTCGAGTACGAACCTTGTCAAACATATTGGACTTTACACCAAGGTCGAGTCCGAACCTCGGTACAATTTATCTCACCCTAAAACACGAGGTCGAGTTCAAACCTCGACACGACTTACTCCACTCTTAAGCCAAGGTCGAATCCAAACCTTACACCTTATCGCAAATTATCATATTCCATGTTAAGGTCGAATTCGAACCGTGCTCCGAAACATTCTATGAGCGACCACATTTGACAAACCAAAAAGCACAAAACCATAAGTGTAACAAGTGGAGGTCAAAAACACAAGATACGAACTTGGCAAACAACATATGTACAATAATTTTGTGAGTACAGTACATGAATTCAAAGGAAAGGAAAATAAACTAAGGCTATTACAAAAACGGCTTAGGTAGTGGCATTTTCACTTGAGCTCTCCTCGAGGTCATCTTCCTTCACCAGCTTCCTAAAGCAGACCTCTTTCTCCACATGCATAGCGGAGAGGTCGAACCCCGGCGCAAGGAACCTTGCCTAGCAAGCTACCTTGAGGAATTCCCTCTTGTGCTCGAACACGACAGCCCGCTCGGTCTCCTTGAGCTTCTTCCCCAGCTCCATCTTCGCCACACCCACCTTTGCGAGGTCCACCCTAAGTGCGGCGACCTCCTCCTCTTTCCCACCGAGAAGCACCTTGTCACAAAGGCGCTTCTCGGTCATTGTCACCAGGTCAGCCTTCAGGGAAGTCACCTCGTCCTCCAAGGAACGCACTTGGCCTCGGGATGAGCTCCTGCAGCTCCTTCACCTGGGTAGCATGGGCCTCATTAGCCCTTAGAGCTATCTCTAAGGACTTCTAAACCCTCTCCAGCTCCCTCCGGGTGGCCTGGAGCTCGGCCTCATTCTGCAGTTTGGCATCCCCGAGGGCACCCGCCAAAGCCCTATTGATAGACTATGGCCAAGGCTAAGGAAATCAAGAGGTGATATCCTAAAAGAACCAAGAGGAATGGGATGATCTTCAAGACCTTTTCATATGTTTGTACATAGTTTCTTTTGTATAGCTTATTTTTGCCTTTGTATTTTCTTTTGTATAGGTTATTTTTGCCTTTGTATTTGTGAGGCACTTTACTTGCTTTTCCTAGTGTTTGTATATTGATTTTGAGGTAGGTTACTTGGAGAGTTTAACTCCATTTAACCTCCCTAGTTGATACATTCATTTTGTATTTTTTCAGTAGAGAAAAAGGGGTGACATTTAGCAAAGCTAAGGTGTGTGTTTAGAAATTGGGCCTGAGTTGGGCCTAGGCAAAATTTTGCATATTGGACTCATTTTGCTCCTAATTTTTCATAGATTTGATTTAGCTAGGTCTCATCATCATATGATGAACCTAACTAAACCAAATCAAGAATTTTCAAATTAAATCATGGAGCAAATTGACCCAAAGGCCGCCTAGCTCATCTTCTCCTCCTTGGCCGAATTTGTGAACTACACCTCTTAGTTTTGAAGCTTGCCTTGCAAGCTTTTAAACCTTGGAAGGTTAAGACAACCTTACCATGGTTCTTAAGTGAACCATGGTCAAGGTTAGCTTCTCCTTGAAGCTAGCTAAAACCGTGGGAGTTAAGTTAATCCTACCATGGTTCCTAGTGAACCATGGTTAAGGTTAGCTTCTCCTACAAGCTACCTTTCCCTATATATTTGTTTTCTATACTCTTGTAATCACTTTTGAACATATTTGAGAATGAAATCAGATTTTCTCTCAACTCAAGAGTCACCAAAACCGTGAGAATTCTCTCTAAGGTTCCCTCAAGGTTCATTCAAACCTTGCCTTGGTTCATCAAGCTTCTACCTCAAGCTTGGAGTAACCGAATCCCTATCAAGACTTCTACTCCTTTGAAGGTTCTTCAATGGAGTTTCAGAGATTTCAAGTGTCAACCTCAAGATCATTCACGGTCCTAAGCATGGAGCAAGTGAAGGAATCATCAATCTCCTCACCTAGTTCCATCATTTTTGGTATCTAGAGCCTAGTGCTCTTGAGGTTTTTGTCTCTAATTTTTTTTACTTGAATCCGTGTTGTTCCTTCCTTATCTTTGTCTAAATTTGTGTTTGCTGTATGGATCTAAGCCTAATACAATTTTTTATGGATCCTATATGTCTCATTTGAAGTAATTGATTCATGTTTGCTTGTTTCTAATTCTTCTTGAATTAATTTTTGTGGTGCGCCTAGGTTATCTTGTTCTTGTGCGTTTTTGATGTTTCTTTGATGTCTTCTCCATTCTATAACATGTGTCCGTGATTGGAAAACATTCATATTGCATAGATTTTGCTTTTGAATCATTTGTTTTGTCATAGAAGTCATGTATAGTCCTTTGTGTGTTGAAACTTCCTAGACTAGCTTGTTTAACCTAATTTTTGTTTAGTGTTTTTGTGTCCAAAATTTTTGTGTATTTTCTTATTAAATCTGAACCTCACTATATGTGCTTTTGCTTTACATGATTGAGTTCCTAATTTGCTATTAGTTCTAGCAAATTTCTTAGAGTTAGGTTTCTATTATGTCTTGTTAAAAGTTTTGTCAAAAAAATTTGTTAAACACTTCTCCTATTAGGTTTCTTTGTGTCTTGTGTTGTGGCTGGAACTTATTGAAATTTTTTGGACCTTAAAACAGAGGCAAAACAGAGGTGTGAGTGTCCTAAATGCATGAGAAAAACAAAAGAAAAATAGTGCTTAAAAATTTGACCTAAAATTCCTACAAAATAGTGAAGCACTAGTGAGAACATGCTTGTTGACACCTCTTGTTTTGTGTAAAATTTTTGCTGCAGTTATTTTACATTAAAACCGAGACCTACACTTGTTCAAAAGGCAATTAAACTCCTGTTTGATCAAAGAAAAATAAGTGAAAAATATTTTGCTAAAAAGAAAAGAAAGAAAAAGCAAAAGAAAAAGCCAAAAAGGAGTAAAAATGTGTGATGCGTAGCTCTCGGTTTTGGTCATAGTTTGGCACCTAAATTTTTGTGACCAGCCACATCATTGAGTCTTATTTTGTTTTCTAATCTTAGCTTTTGATTTGGTAATCCATTCTAGTGCCATTCATAGGTTATTCTTGTGTGTGCTAGCTTTCAAATTTGCCTTAATTTTTTTTTTTTTGCTTGTCATTTTTGTGAAATTCTTTCTAGTTTGTCACATCTTCTTCTACCAATTGGTGTAGCTATTCTAAATTTTTCTTTTTCAGTTTTTAGCACTAATATTCAGTCTTGAAGGTGGTTGAGTGCTTCTTGAAAGGTGTAGGAGGCCAAGGCAAAGGACATCCACTTGAAGGCTTTGGTGGTTGCTTAGGGAGTTTGTTCTCTCTTGGTGGCTAGGCTCTTGGAAACACCTAGAAGTGACTAACCTCAAGGTTACTTCTAAAAAGAGGAGTGAAACACCTTTGTGAGGCTGCAGTTGGTGGCTGAATTGGAGCAAGAAGGAGTGAAGCTAATTGTGAAAATTTTTGTGAAAATTTAGAAATAAATTTAGTGACGGAAATTTTGGTTACTACAACTAGTTTTTCCTTACAAAAATCCGTCTCTAAATTTGTTCTAAATCAGTGGCTAATTTGTTTTCTTTGAATTTAAGTGCAGCCACTAAATTCATTTGAAAGTAAATTTACATTTCATTTGGAGTGTGAATTTACATTTCATTTGAAACAAATTTGAATTTCATTTGATTTGTAATTTTTGTTTTCTAAATTCTTGTACAAGGCCTTTATTAAGGAGTGTCTTGGAGTGCCTTTGGTGTATCTCCATCTCTCCTTAAGAACTTCTATAGTAAACCACGTGTAGCACTTGTGAGAGTGGTTCTTGAAGGTCTTTGGTGCCTTTCAAGCTCTCACTTAGGTTTATTTGCTTTCAACGACTAGTTTATGTTTTCTTGTCTTTAAGTTTTCAAGCAATTTATGTTTTAAGCAATTTATGTTTTCAGTCATTTAAGTTTTCAAGTAATTTAAGTTTTCATGCTCTTTATGTTTTCAAGCAACTTATAAACTCTACACATAGGCACTTACTTGTTATTTTCCTTTAAGAAAAAGTTCTTTGTAAAGGAGATGTACCCCCTACCCTGGAGCCGGCAACTGATGAAGACGGCGTTCCGTCCCATGATGAGGATCAGCCACCACAGGTGGAAGCTGAGCCTGGCAGGGAGCCTGAACCGGAACTGAATGGATGTGAAAAGTGCTTTCCTAAATGGGTTGATACAAGAGGAAGTGTATGTGGAACAGCCACCTGGCTTTGTGGACTTTAAGAATCCTAATCATGTGTACAAGCTCAAAAAGGCGCTCTATGGCTTGAAGCAAGCTCCTAGATCTTGGTATGACAGGTTAAGCAAATTTCTAATTGAGAATGACTATGAAAGAGGGAAGGTGGATAATACATTGTTTGTCAAGAAATTTAAAAATGACACAATGTATATACAAATATATGTTGATGATATTGTGTTTGGATCCACAAACACCTCTCTTTGTAAAGAATTTGCTAAAACTATGCAAGAAGAATTTGAAATGTCAATGATGGGAGAGCTTACATTGTTTTTGGGATTGCAAATAAAACAAATGCATGATGGAATTTTCATAAGTCAAAGCAAGTATTGCAATGAACTTCTAAAAAAGTTTGGTATGGAAGGGTGTAAGGAGGCTGCCACACCTATATCAAATAATTGCAATCTTGACTTAGATGAGAAAGGAATAGTTGTTGATAATTCTAAGTACAGAGGTATAATTGGATCACTCTTGTACTTGACAGCGAGTAGGCTTGATATAATGTTTGATGTGTGCCTATGTGCAAGATTCCAAGCTAATCCTAAAGAATCTCACATGAAGAGTGTGAAGAGAATTCTCAAATACTTAAAAGGTACAACTAATGTTGGATTGTGGTATCCAAAGGGAGTCTCACTAAGTCTGATAGGTTACTCAGATTTAGACTATGTTGGGTGTAGACTAGATAGAAAGAGCACAAATGGTACTTGTCACCTATTAGGTAGTGCACTTGTCTCATGGCATAGCAAAAAGCAAGCTTGTGTTGCTTTAAGTACAGCTGAGGCTGAGTATATAGCTGTTGGAAGTTGTTGTGCTCAAATTCTTTGGATGAAACAACAATTAAGAGATTATGGAGTTGAATTGAACAAAATTCCTTTGAGGTGTGACAATACTAGTGCAATAAATTTGACCAAGAACCCAATTTTGCACTCTAGGACTAAACATATTGAGATAAGACACCACTTTTTGAGAGATCATGTACAAAGGAATGATTGTGTTGTAGAGTTTGTAGAGACAAGCAAGCAATTAGCTGATATTTTTACAAAACCTCTACCAAGGGAATGATTCAACAATTTAAGAATTGAATTGGGAATAATCAATGAATCATGTTTGAATTGATTATGCTTTGAGAGTGGAAGTTAGAAATGCTTGGAAGAGAATATTTAAAGTGACAAATAAGACTTGGTGGAATTTGAAATGTTAAATTTTCTGAGAAGCAAATCTTCTCTGGAATAATCGATTATCTTAAGATATAATCGATTATCTTAAGATATAATCGATTATCTTAAGTATTTCATGAAAATAATCGATTATCTGGGTAATAATCGATCATCTGGAACATGAAGAATTCCAAAAGCCTCAGAAATAATCAATTATTTGGAAAATAATCGATTATCTGGTAAGAAGAAACTCAAGAGTCATTGTAATAATCGATTATCTTGGGTAATAATCGATTATCTGGAAGTTGGAATATGAGAAGTCACTGGAATAATCGATTATTCTGTAAATAATCGATTATCTGGGCTGTGTGAGGAGAAGTTGCTCTCTGTAATAATCGATTATCCTTAAAATAATCGATTATCCATATCAGATTGCGTTTTTAGAAGGGTTTTACTGATGCAAATAATCGATTATTTGCATAAATAATCGATTATCTGAGCGGTTTTTCAAATTTCCTGAAACGGTTATCTACGCGCCAACCTTTAGAACCACCCATTACCCTTATACCTAGAATGTGCTAGGGCATAAAACACTTCTCATAACCTCTCATTCTCTCATTCTCTTATTTTCTCTCAATCCACAAAACCCTAACCCTCTCAAATCCTCTCAAAACTCTCAACTTTCTTCATCTTCTTCAAGACCCATCCATGGCTTCTTCATCCAAGAGACCTGAGAAGCTTGAAGTAAGGGGGAGCAAGCGTCCTCTACCCTTTGGGCAACTGATTTCAAAATGGTTCGCGGATGAGAAAGCTCAAGAATACTATTTTGAGTGGTACGCCGGGCGGAGAATCATCCCTCCGAAGACTCTTAAACTTGAATGGTTTAAGAATGAGGGTTTTAGTTTTCCAACCCTTCTAGAGCACCAAGGGCTGAAGAAATTTTTAGAGCTGGATGGTCCCTACTATCCGGAGTTAATCAGGTTATTTCTCTGCTTTGCCACAACCAATGGAGGGGTTATGCAATCTGTGGTGAAGGGAAAGCTGATCAAGTTAGACGGGCCAACTTTGAAGGCTGCTGCGGGTCTGAGCAGAACTGGAGCAGAGAAACCCCAACCTTTCAATTTTGGGGATTTTGAAGAGCTGACTACCTTTCGGGACTGTCAAAGGGTTCCCGTTTAATTTCCTTTATAATTGCTTGGATGTTGAAACCCAGGTTACACAACCATGCTCAGATGTCTCGGGATGACATTTTGTTAATGCATGTCATTAAAAAGAAAATTCAGATCGATTGGGTATTGGTTGTGAATGACTGTATATGGAAGGCCAGACGGAAGGAAGATGGTCCGATTCCATATGCACTTTTGCCATCCAAAATTTTTGAAAATGTTGGAGTAGATTTAGAAGGAGAAAGAAAAATTGTGTTGCATGCTTCGAACAAGATTGAGAAGCCTTCTCTGCATCACATGGGGATGCTTAAACAAGAAGACAAGTGGGTGTTTAAAGGAGATGTACCCCCTACCCTGGAGCCGGCAACTGATGAAGACGGCGTTCCGTCCCATGATGAGGATCAGCCACCACAGGTGGAAGCTGAGCCTGGCAGGGAGCCTGAACCGGAACTGAAGCCGTTTTCACCTTTTGAGCAATTGATGATCAATAAGATTGATGCGGTTATGGACATGTCGAGGAGACATGAGTCTTTGTTTTCTGGTTTGCTTGACAGGTTTGATGATCTGGATCGTGAAGTTAGGCTGATCAAGACTCAACTTGGCATTCCAGAGGATGAGGATTGATCCGAGTTCTGTTTCTTTGATTAGTTTTAATTAGGATTTTTAATCCTGTTTTGGGACAATTTATTTCAATATGGTTGTAATAGTTTCAGTTTCTAAACAATTTTAATGCTTTGTGATGTTGAACATTTGAATTCTGATGAATTTGGATTTTATTTTGCTGATTTGAGTCATATTCTGGTTCGCTTGGCTGGTTTTTAACCAAATCAAGAATTTTCAAATTAAATCATGGAGCAAATTAATCCAAAGGTCGCCTAGCTCATCTTCTCCTCCTTGGCCGAATTTATGAACTACACCTCTTGGTTTTGAAGCTTGCCTTGCAAGCTTTTAAACCTTGGAAGGTTAAGACAACCTTACCATGGTTCTTAAGTGAACCATGGTCAAGGTTAGCTTTTCTTAGAAGCTAGCTAAAACCGTGGGAGTTAAGTTAATCCTACCATGGTTCCTAGTGAACCATGGTTAAGGTTAGCTTCTCCTACAAGCTACCTTTCCCTATATATTTGTTTCTATATTCTTGTAATCACTTTTGAACATATTTGAGAATGAAATCAGATTTTCTCTCAACTCAAGAGTTACCAAAACCGTGAGAATTCTCTCTCTAAGGTTCCCTCAAGGTTCATTCAAACCTTGCCTTGGTTCATCAAGCTTCTACCTCAAGCTTGGAGTAACCGAACCCCTATCAAGACTTCTACATCTTTGAAGGTTCTTCAATGGAGTTTCAGAGATTTCAAGTGTCAACCTCAAGATCATTCACGGTCCTAAGCATGGAGCAAGTGAAGGGATCATCAATGTCCTCACGTAGTTCCATCACCTATTCTCGTCCCTCAAGGCCTTGGCCTCTTCCTTCAAAGGTTGAACCTGGCTCTTTAGCTTCGCCAAGTCCTCCTGTTGCTTGGACCACTTATGCTTCCAGTAGTCCACAATGGCCATGCTCCTCTACAGGAACACCTCAGCAGCATCAAGGCCTTTCATGGGCCTGGTTGACTCAATCATGGCCCGGTCAGCCTCGCTCAAAGAATCCTTGGCGAAAAACTACTCCAAGGTAACCCCCGCGCTCCACAGAGAATCTATGTCCTCTGAAGTACTCGTGTGGTCCAACCACATTCGAGAACAATCCTTCTTGAAGCGATGGGCGAGGAACTAACTTCTAGGGTGCCCCTTTGGCGCGCTAGACGGTGGCGCCGAGGTTGCAGGAGTGGAAGTCGAAACCTCAAAGCTCGACCCCTTCCCACGGGCCTCGGCGAAAGTAGAGGTAGGCACCACCTGTTCGGTCGCCTGCTCGGTAACAGGGGCATTCGCCCCTAGCGCCCCCGAGGTCGGCGGAGCTTGGACCTCGGCAGTATTCCCCACCTACAAAAAACAAAAATTTATTCCTAAGTCAGGCGAGTGAGAACGATAAGTATAGAAGAAAAATCAAAAAGCAAGGCACCAACCTCAGCGGCCTGACCAACCCGCTCGGCAGCCTGGGTAGTCACCTCGGCAGCCGAAGTAGCCTCCTCGGCGGCCACTCGAGTGGCTCCCTCAGGCGGCGGACTCCCAGTGAGGTCCACCGCATCAGCATCAGCAGCTTTGGAGGTCACCTCCTCAACCTCTCGAGGGGCAGAGGTCCCGCCAACCTCTTTCTCTCCCTTCTTTCTTTTCCTGCGCAGGGGGGCCTCTTCCTCCTCTTGAGGCTCTGGGACCTCAATCTTGGCAATGTTGTAGCGATGCTTCAACTCACGCCATTCTTACCCATTATGCCTGCAAACACGAGAAAGCAAATACATCAGTAACAGAAACTCTTACAAACCCTAAAAAGAAAGACGAGATCCTCACTCTCTAAGCCCCTCTCCTTGTACGCCAAGTTCCCAAGCGACAAGACGAGCTTGCAATCCAACGGACGGGGGAGCGCTTCCAAGTTCGCGATGGCGGCGGATTCTGAAGTCGTCGATTGCAATTTCCTCACCCCATGAAATCTAGCCGGGGCTGGCCGCCAGTAAAAGGGGAACTTCAACAACCCGCCAAAATAGAACGCCCCATCCTCTAATGGGTTGACATCCACCAGCGCCACCCGGAAAAACTCTTATTTGAAATTTTTATATGATTAGGAGTAAAGGGGAAATAGACCCCCATCCTTACTCCCACTCAAAGACATTAAGCCATACGGAAGAACACCTATTTTTAACTAGTAAAAATGAAGAAAAATGGCCAGAGACACCTCTATCCCCAAAGCCAAGCACAGGACTTCGAAAGCCCTCAAAAATCCCCAACTGTTAGGATGCAACTAGCAAGGTGCCGAGTTGATAAAATTCAGAAAATCACATTCAAACTGTGAAAAGGGAAGGCACACGCCTAAATCCCTAAACAGACACTGGTACACATAAAAGAATGGAGGATCAGAAGGACCCCCCAAATAGACACGCTCGTAGGGCCGACAGGGCTCGAGCTGGACGAACTTGGAAACGGAAGAATCATAGATCTTGTGCGACCTCCGTATCGCATTGACCTCTAGGAAGGACCCAAATATACTTTGGCACTCCCCCACATCGCGCCTGACCCAGTCATAGCCAGGAATCCCTGGGACGAGGTCCTTAGGTGGGTTATCCACCTTTTTCTTTTTGGCGGCGGCCACTGCCTTGCCGCGAGCCTTGCCCTTGCCCTTGGCAGGCGCAAAAGATGCGGCACCCCTCTCTCCAGCCATTGAAAAATCAGAGACTCAAGAAAAGAAAAGATTTGAGAATAAGGAAAAAAGATTCGAAGTACCTAGTACTCCCTTGGCAAATGAAAGAACAATGTGGAGGAAGAAGAACTCAGTTGCCGGAAATGGAGACAGAGTAGAACGGAACCAAGAAAGGTGAAGACGGGGAGCGAAACAGAGAAACAAAGAGGTGACAGGAACGAGACAAAGGAAAAGAGTAAAGTGACAGGGGAAGAGGCGCGAGCGAGTGATAGACCATGGGCCAAGGGCCCAATTACCAGAGCTATGGCTAGAAGAATACAAGAAGAGTTGGACCTCTTGAAGACT